GGGGGGGTCCCATTTTGACCTTGAGGGCAAGGTGACTGAGACTTGACATTGTGGAGAATTTTAATAGATTCATCTGTCGTACCTGATGTGCTTTTTATGGCTGAGGTGCAAAAAAGGCATATCAGCAATTTGAAACAACCAAAAGCAAACTTTGTTTTAGTGGGAGGGGGATACAGGACACTGTACGCTCCTAGTTTCCCAGGATTCCCTGGTATTCCCACTGGAATATGCTGCTCGTTAATTTTTTCTCAATAGATGTGTCTTGCCAGTTCAAGTTTTGAATTGATCAGCTTTACGTCCATGATTCTCCAACTTACCCTCTTGAGGTCATAGTTAAACCCACACATCTCTTTACAGAGTCTCTTAATGAACTGGAAGACAATGATCTGGATGCTCTAATGGCCGACCTGGAATCAAAGTCAGCCGCGCAGGAACCCGTTACTTCTGAACCAAACATCGGCGGTACAAACGATCAAACTGCACCACCCGCAACGACTCAGAAACATGAGCCAGCCACTGCCCTTCCTCCCCCGCCAGGCACAGATGTATCCTGCAGGGACATGCAAACGGTAAACCAAAGTTTTGCACTGAGAGAAAATATAAAGTCAGAATTTCCTGGACATGGGCGGCAAAAGAGATAACGTTCTTCTATGTTTCCAGAGAGAACCCCAAACAAAAGCAGAGAAAATAAAACTAGCTCTAGAGAAGCTGAAAGAAGCAAAAATGAGGAAGGTAAGATCAGCAGATTTTTTTTGTGTGTGTGTGTCTCATCAAAGCTTGCATTTAATCTTGAGTTAAAGTAACTGTGCCTCTCTCAGTTGATTGTGAAGGTGCTCATGAGTGACGGCAGCTCCAAGACGCTGATGGTGGACGAGAGGCAATCGGTGCGAGAGGTCTTGGACAAACTGTTTGAGAAGACGCACTGTGACTGCAGCACTGTCTGGAGTCTGTGTGAGACCAACCCCGAATTGCTGATTGGTGAGATAAAGACACACGTAAACATGATAAAAGGCAGTAAAAATAACAGAGGAGTCTTCCTCCCCTCACTCCCAACTGGTTGCAGCAGGTGGCTGATAAGCCTGGTTCTGCTGGCGGTTTGTTCCTGTTAAAAGGGAGTTTTTCCTTCCCACTGTTGCCAAGTGCTTGCTCACAGGGGTATTGTGTAATTGTTGAGGTTTTGTCTGTATTATTCTAGAGTCTCTAATTTGGTGCTATCCGGTCGTTAAGTCTGACGTCACTAGCCGTGTCTGGGCCTAAACTCCGCTGCAGGTCCATATATCAAACGATCACTATGGCATTACTGAGAGTTGAAAAACTGTCTAAAGTCTTTCATCTTTAATAAAATGATCAGCGTTC